CGAAGCTGACTGTTTCCGAAGAAACATTTCGACGGCTTCAACTTTAGGCCGGCCTTCCTCAGCTCCGTGAACACCAGTCGCATATTCGTCAGCAACTGTTCGAATGTTTGTCCAAAAACCTCGATGTCATCCAGGTATAGAATGAGGACTTTGTTACGGAGAGAACAGAAGACCTTATCCATCATCCGCGAAAAAGTAGCCGGAGCTGTTTTAAGACCGAACGGCATGACCTCGAATTGATAAGTACCTTCCGGAGTACGAAAGCATGTGAGTGCTTTTGAGTCCGGATGCATCGGGATTTGCCAGTATCCACTTGCTAGATCCAGGGAGGTGAAGTATTGGTTTCCCCGGAGACAGTCGAGACAATCGTCAATACGCGGCAGCGGGTACGGATCAAATAGAGTGTCATCATTTAGAAGTTTGTAAGAAATGCAGAAGCGGAGCCCACCATCCCGCTTACCTGCGAGAACAACGTTGGCACAACGATCGCTCAATGAGCAAGGTGTGATCACGCCCTTAGCCTCCATATCCGCCACCTGTTTCTGAATTTCTTCACGTTGCCACGGGGCAAAACGGCGAAGCGGTTCAATTACCGGATTTGCATCCCGTCGCAAAACGATTTGATGCTGCATCGCCGTACAAGTCCCTAATTTCTGGTTTTACCTGGGAATAAATCGCTGAACTCAAGTAAAGGTTCATCAACTGCTGTTCTTGTGACTCCGTTAGGTTATCCCCGAAATTGAGAGTTTTACGGTCCAGAGGTGCATCTGTATACTCCACCGGTCCGAATAACTCATCGGGGACTGGCTCGAATTCTGCTGCCAGTATGTCATCGTTAACTTGCATGATGTCCTGCAGCCGAACAACGTCTGCGAGAGTGACCATATCGACTGTAGCTGCCCCTGTACCCAACTGCGTGTCGCTCGATAGAAGAGCCCCCTTGTCCTCACCCAGACCTAATTCGTCCAGCGAACCGATGTCCGGATGGTTCGAGCGAACCTCATTTGCCAAACCTCGACTAAACACATTATTCTCTGATGAGCATAATAAATAACACGGCGCCGTGATTGTACTCGTGTGGCAAGGAGTCGCGACCTCCATACCACACAGAAACCGAAAGGGGGCTGATGAACGGGGAGTAGTCAGTACTAAACGATGGAAGTCGATCTTTAACGGCGTGAGCTGCATGAAATCATTCCCTAATAACACATCAAACGGGACGACATCGACGACCGCAAATTTAACGGTTTTCTTTATGTCCAACAAAGAGATATCAGCGGTTACCGTACGGGAGCAGTCAAGCGGACTTCCTAACGTGAGTAGATTAACAAACGAATCGGTAGAAACTGGTAAACGATGTGCACCAACGAATTGGGAGTTGATCAACGAGACACCAGAACCAGTGTCAATGATAGCGCGACAACCAATCCCGTTAACACCAGCAGAACACAAAATCGGACCAACAACAGTAGACAAGGTGTCATCTCTTCCTGCGCGTGGGTTGGTATCACCCGCAGGATTCAGCAGTTTAAAGGAGTGCGGTCCATTACCTGCGCCACATCCTGTCTAACAGGGGGCGGTCCGGTATAATAGACCATGGTAGGCGGAACCGAACCTGCATTCGTACCGGATGCAGCCGTCGCCTGTGGGGCAGGCAACGAGAGTACTACTGGGGAAGCGGAAACGGGCAATTTGGGAAAATTTTGGTTATCATATGTAAACGGACGAGCCGAGGTATTCCCAAACCTGCCACGCCCCCGGAATCCTCTACTACCCCCGCGACCGCGCCCACGATACGAGGCACTTCCCGGGTTTGACCAGCATGTAGCTTGGATGTGTCCCGGTCGGCCACAGAAATGGCACGTGCGGAGGGTGCGCGAGCGATCCTGTGAAGGTTGACTGCCGGGTGCCGTTCGTTCATCCACCAACTTTTGCAACTGTGCTTCTACCTTTTCAAACTTTTTCTCAAATTCAGCCTCGGTGACCGGTTTATTGGATGTCTGCGAGGATGACCCACCGAACGCTGCAAACGCCGGAACATATTTTTTAACTTTTGATTCTTCTACACACGCTCGTCCGCGTGGCAATTCGTCCGGTTCGGGGAACAAAGAAGTATCCCCGTATGGGAACGCCAAACGAGCCCGATAGCGATAGGCTCGCGAGACGTTTTTCAGCTTTTCGAGGAACTCAGTGGCATCCTCGAGATCCTCATACACCGTGACCATTTCGGCCTTGAGGTTATCAGGCAACCCTTGAAACAGGTGTAATATGAGATCGCTCTGCCGCGCCTGCGGATTCCTGGAGAGGACGATTCTGGTAATGCGGGTAACGTAAGCTAACGGATCATCAGTGGCAAGCATGCGCATGGTCCGTCCTTCCAAGTCGTAGTCTATTGGACTCTTGCCGAACGCCTCCTTCAAGGCGTCTTGCAGGGCATCCCACGACTTTTCCTTAGGCCGAGACATGTACCACTGTAGGGCGTCACCCTTTAGACATACTTTCATGTAGTCGAGGAACTGTGAGCTGCGCCACCCGAAAGCTCGCCCTGTGCCTCAAATTCCATAAGAAAATTGTCGACATCCTCGAGCAAGCGGCCACTGAACTTCGGAAGATCTCGTAAGCTTGGTTGCCGTTGACTTGTACTACCCGAATCGGCCTTCTTAGATATCTCCCTTACGTCATCGTCATCACCGGGGGACTTACTGTCCTCTGGCTTCGTCATTTCAAAGGCTACTTTCTTTTGTGCACGCACCTGTTTACCGCGTTCTCGAGCTTCTCGGGTAACAATGTCTAACTGATCAACAACCTCCCTAAAGTCCAACTGGTGTTCGACAGCCGAGCGCAGGAGGTACCCGACTGGGGTACTAGGAAACGTGTCCAAATCAGGGGTCGCGAGAAATGCTGTATTATGGAGGGCGTTATCACTGGAAGATGAAGACGTACGGTCGCTGGTGACAGGAGACTCTGGTGTCTTCTCCCGGTACTCTGTCCAGTTACTGGATGAATCTATTTTGATGATTCACGTAAAACGAACGCGAGATGAGTGATACGCCAAACCTATCCTTGATTTTGCGACATTAACGAATGATGAACGTGATGACTCAACTCTAATTTTGCGACAATAACGAATGACGAATGTGATGGCTCAACGAATGTGATGACTCAACTCGAACAAAACGGGATAGAGCATCTGACAGGAACATCTGACTAATTACACACCCAAGCCTTATGAGTGACTAACAGCGATGCTTTTTAATCGTACTCTGATGGTAATCGTTTTTGTTTTTAGCTCTGGTTACTCAACAAAAATGTATTATCAAATGTTCAATCCGAACTGTACCCACGGGACACGTAACAACAAAAAAATGAAATGAACCGCTCCCAAATAATCTGGCTGTTCGTTTCAACTTTTTCTGGTTCCTCTTTACATAACAGAGCATACGGTTTTCGTTTTAGCGAGAAGTAAGCTATTTGGCAACAAAGGTCATAATGATTTTGTGCTGAAAAATATTTAGTCCGTGTTAAAGGAAAATAATCAAAGTAAAACACTACTTTATACAACATTATTTGGGATAATCAGATCATACATAAAATTATTTACGGAGAATTTTACCCAAAAATTAATCAGTTTTTAATTACGGCTAGAGACGGGAACGCGAAATAGACAACCGGAAATCGGACAGACACAGTCGATACGCGAGAATCGTATAAAGATTAATTTACTGTCAAGAGCAAAACAGCCACGGCTGAACTGGCCTACCTCGGCAAAACTCTAAAACTCGAACGGACCACTAGATGCAGCACTGACGTAAAGGTCATCACTAGTTCGCCGAACTATGAACTCGAACATTAACAACATGATAGTAATACAACTGATAATTGCTTAAATCATTTTGTACCGAAGCTACCAACCTTCTAAATTGCAACGGATAGGTTAGAGGCAAGAAACAATAAAAATATCAAAATAAATCAGGTCGAGATGAATATCGAGAAAAAGACGAATAAAATCTCTGTTTAAAACGTTCCTGTCTTCCCGCCTGTTAACATTTAAAGATTGTCACTTACACATGGCACCACCGTTGTTCCGTTCTCCATGTCTATGGGTAATGGGCCGTTGGGGATGGAAAGTCACCTCCGGCAATGAACAAGGGGTTATATGGTTGGAAAGCGGTAACTGGGGAAAAGGTCAGCGGAAAAGTACTGGTGAGACGTAAGGTCACCCGGTAGGAAAGGGACTGGCTGTATACCACACAGGATTTCTCAGTCGTGATCGGACCAAAATTGTTACGAAACTTAGGCAGAGCAAATGGCAAAACCGGCGAATAGATATTACAAGCCTTTATTGGTGATTGTCAGTACACAGTAGGAAGCAAAGTTCGGAACATAAGACTGGTAGGGTAACTCTGTTGATTTTAGCGAACATGTAAGTATTTATACGGATAGTATATCTGATACAAGATATCGTGAATCATAGGGAGAATTATCGCATTAAAACATCGCTAACGTAACATGATTCTGCTTAATGTGATTTATAAAAGTTGTCGCAAAAATACCATTTTTTGCACATGCATCATTGGATAAAACTGTAGCATTATCATTTTTGTATTTGTTAAACAGTGCAAACCACGCTACTACTGCCAAAAAGCGCACAAATATTCTAAGCTCCGTTAGTGGTCAAGAAAACCAAAACCTTGAAAATTTAACACGATTTTTATCTATGTAAAAGAAGTTAAATAAAAAATTATTACACAGAAAAAAACAGGTAAGTAAAAGTGATCCGGTTAATGAAAAAAGTTAAATACAGGGTACAAGTGATTAGGAAATTGTTTTATTAAAGCTCACCTTAAAATGTTTCACGAATGGATTGTAAAGCGCCGGCTCATCATCGGTCTTGACCTTTAGATTAAAACTTTGGTCTTCGTGTGTAATCTCCACATCTCGCTTTTCCATCTGAACTTTAAGTCAGAGAACAATTTCTTCATAAACTTCCTCTTCTTTAGATTCTGTGATCGCAATCAAGCAAATAATGACAATCGGGGTTTTGCGCTCCTTATGAACAACGAACGGAAGTCGGGTGGCCATCACTACAGTGTAGGGGTCCGTCAGATCGAACTTCACGTCCACATCCAAAGGTACAGAGTGTGCTCTGAATGCATACTGTGCCAGCAAGTCTAGCTGATAATTTTGATATACAAAGTGCACCTTCCGTTTTTGAAGTACCATGCCGCTGCTGTCTTTTTTTCCAAAAAGAGAAAATGTGAGTGTCCACATTCTTTGTCTCAAGCATGAACTGCAGCATATCGGTACCGTAGCGCTTTTGTTTGTGGGCCTGCTTTGCGTTGCTAGCTTGCCGCACCGTGGACAGTTAGTAAGAAGGATTCTTTTGTATTAAAACTGCTGGAGTTTCTTCGACAACTGCCTGTAACGCATGTCGAGGTGGTGCAGTAGGCGCTCGCTTGTTTTCTGAATATTTTTCTGAAAGCTTCGCTTTGAAGTATGCTGGCAATTTGGGCTTTCCATAAATGCTTGGATCGAACGACGTGATCTATTGTTTAGAGTCCCAGTAATACCGAATCAGGATAAAATCTGTTTCCGACATGTCGATTTCTTTTGAGTTTGCAGTGGTCACGATAAAGCTGATGCATTTGTGAAATCCGTGACGTGAATGGGAATAATATACCGAGAATAAATGAATGCTCCGGTTGTTAGACGAAAACTGATTCCATCATCGGGTTCCCTGCTTCCATGCGCGGTTACCGTCATTTTTGAGAATGTCGTTGAGAATTTTTGAGAATTTTTACAAGGTCACCCACTTCGTCTGACATGGTAACAGCGAAAACGCCAGATCCTTGGAATTGTTGTGGAACCCAGTTGTTCATATGCCGGTTTGTGCATGACCTCAGATAAGAATGAATATCGCACAACGCATTCCCAGTGACTTCTCGTGAAAACATCTTATATGACTTGCTGCAACAGAATGAGCGAATATGCGCAAAAAATAATTACCTTTCAAAAACAGCAGGTTTTTATTTGGTTATACTAAAGTACGTGTTAACGTTGAAAATAAATTAAAAATATAACTATTTATTATGATTGAAAATAATCATCTTTGCAAAAGCTAAAGGTTTGTATTCCGAAAAAACTCGTGCGTATTTAAGCAGCATAAAATTTTCGTTCTTGTTAAGCAAGTATCTTAAATGTGCGCAAGCTGCTTTCAAAATAATGGTGACGTATTAGACCCAAATGTCACCAAGTGGAGAAACCATTCAGACTGGCGAAACTCGGCGCACTTCCTCGTTTGCAAAAATAATTGTTGGCACGGGATCACAGATGACAGAACTCTCGGAAACAGCGGGTTCATGGTCGAAAAGATCGTTTGAGTGGATGCTACGAATGTTACGAGTATAAAATTATGTTGTAAATATATCTAGTTCTAGATCTTTATTACCACGAACAGAAAAAATTGCATACACCAATGCCAGAATCCCAGACCGAATTAACAAAAACCACTGCTATCATCGGAAAGCCCATGTTCTAAAACGCGGCCAGAGGGTGTTCGTTTTTTTCGAAAATGCATTCAAGCGACCAAACAAATCACCTCCAAAAGCCGGGTCTGCCATGTAAAGTTAAAGTTCATCCATACTTAAGAATACTATGTCTATACTTACGAAATTACTGTTGCTACGTTAAAAATATTAGGTTTGAAAATAAGTGACCTCAAAGAAGACAAATATTCGGTTAATTCCATAAGGGATTAATTGGGTCTTATGGGATTGAATATTGATTACCCCTTTCTAATTGTCGAACATAAGAAAATGCGTGAAACGTAAAACATTTCCATCTTACTGTTAACCATTTCGGGAAAACGTCGAAAATATTACACTGATCAGAAATCTTTCAATCAGAAAATCGCTGACAAAAATCTGCATCATGTACCCAGACAGGCATTCAAATCGTGAAATGCAATTGTACAAAATATAGTACGAATCATTACGAGGTAATTAGTACTCATTTCACTGACCAAACACACAAGATACTCGTAATTACACTGAATGAGTGACCAAACTACTGCTACCTAGTGCACACTTCCCGTTGGGTGAATGAGTGACCAAACTACCACTGCTACCTAGTGCACACGTCCCATTAGGTAAATGAGTGACCAAATTACCACTGCTACCTAGTGCACACTTCCCGTTGGGTGAATGAGTGACCAAACTAAGGTGAATGAGTGACCAAACTACCACTGCTACCTAGTGCACACTTCCCGTTGGGTGAATGAGTGACCAAACTACCACTACTATCTAGTGCACACTTCCCGTTGGGTGAATGAGTGACCAAACTACCACTACTATCTAGTGCACACTTCCCGTTGGGTGAATGAGTGACCAAACTACCACTGCTACCTAGTGCACACTTCCCGTTGGGTGAATGCAAACTACCACTGCTACCTAGTGCACACTTCCCGTTGGGTGAATGAGTGACCAAACTACCACTGCTATTTAGTGCACACTTCCCGTTAGGTGAATGAGTGACCAAACTACCACTACTATTTGCTATCTACCACTGCTATCTGCTGCTATCTGCTACCACGTATACGGTATACCTATACAGATCCACTGAGGACCACAAGAACTGCGGAGGCGAAGCCGACGTCATTTCTTGTATGTTGTAACGACCAATATAAATGTTGTAAAGACTATGCTGCAACCCGTATTTCAGTAACGTTAGCATTTGTTGCCTTTGTTCTTCAAGCGGCTGTTCTACTGTTCCGTTGCTCTCGTCGTCAGAGTCTGCCATATGACTGCCGACGGATCCGATATGACTGCCGAAAGGTCCAGTTCTCTGGCGTTGTTACGGTTACCAAAACTTTCATCGTGACGCTCGTCGGCACTCTTTTTAAAAACCCACGAAATTTTACTTTCTGAAAAATAGATTTTTTCTTTACGGTAACTACCAGAAACTTTTCAAATATATATGGTGCTCCAGTGCAACCGAGTGATGACAATAGATTACGCGGCAGACCGTTTCACTGTTTTACTGTTTACTGCTTTACTGTTTCGAATACATAATTTGCTGTTATTGTTCGGCAAAAGATAACGAATGTCAAGAAGAGCTTCTTCTATACGGGCTTTTGTAGCCACTGGAGTAAGCGAACCAGCGCGTTGCTCAAAAAATGCCGAGCTAACATGTTTGCACGCCCCAGGAATCCCTTCGTACTTATCATTCTCTCAGATTTGTACTTGTACAAGCACGTGTACAAATTATGTATAATACTGTACATCTATACAGGTAAACGCCTAAATAGCATGTGAGGTTCTCCTGTTAATATGCAGTACTAGCACTGTATTCTTACCAGGGCACATAGGGGTCCTCCAAATTCAGAAAAATTTCATATTTTGTAAAATGGTAGTGTACTATCGTAGTATGCTTAAAAAAATATTTTCATCTGCCATGGTCAAGGGGGCGTGGTCAGACAGCATTTAAAAGTTTGCGTATTATCTCATACTATGCAATGCAGTGAGCGGAGTTATTCATAATAATTAGTTTTAAAACCGAATTTTTACTGTAGCACCGTGAACTTTTACAGCTGTCCAGATGTGATGCAAACGAAGACCACGTGCGGCGGCTCGTGTCACTGCTGCCTAAATACACATTTTCGAAAATTTGTTATGAAGTACAGTACGAGTACATATCTGCTAATTAGTAAAAGAAGTTTTGTACACGATTTACTACATACAATACTAACTGATAAAAAATTTTCGAAAATACTCTTGTACTCAGGCAGCAATGACATGAGCCGCCGCACGTGGGCATGGTTTACACCACAACTGAACAGCTGCAAAAGTTCACGGTGCTACAGTAAAAATTCAGTTTTAAAACTAATTACGAATAACTCCGCTCACTGCATTGCATAGTATGAGATACTACGCAAACTTTTAAATGCTGTCTGACCACGCCCCCTTGACCATGGCAGATGAAAATATTTTTTTAAGCATACTACGATAGTACACTACCATTTTACAAAATATGAAATTTTTCTGAATTTGGAGGACCCCTATGTGCCCTGGTTAGCCCAATATTGTTCCCACAGCAAGTGAGTAAATTGCCAAATTGCCTGAAAGCGAATGCCTAAAAATGGGAAGTGGAAAGAGAAGGAAAAGGCGTAAAACTTAAAAGGAGTAGGCGAAGGAGAAGGTTATTGGCTAGAAGGCGGAGGCAAAGGAGAAGGCGGAAGGAGAAGGCCACTCATATATAGCTACGTGGGCGCCCATAAGGCCCCACGTTACACGCTGTAAGCCGACAGCGGCTGACGGTCCGGGGTAAAGTAAATTTTGTCGTCCATTGTACGTATTTATTCGTTCATGCGAAAGTCAAAACGCAAAAGACAAGCAGCAATCGTCACCATTCGGGCGGCTGGGCAACACAGGCTTACCACGCGAGTTGCCTAATGCCTACTCTAAAGACATTAACCGCCTGTGGAGTTTGATTTTTCATTCTTGAGTAAAAATTTTCTCGCACAGCAGTCGAATTTTGTTGCGGAACGGATTCCGGCGAAAATATACTTAGCACAGAGCTATTCCGATAAGTCATCGTAGGAGACCGCTGTGTCCGATGCATAGCTCCAGTATTTCCAGTGTTTCATCGGAACTGGATATCGGAGCAGTTGTGATTTAGGAAGTATACGTACGCAACAACATAGATTTCTATCGCTACTAGCCTATTTATAATCTTGCACTAACAGCTGAAATCCCATGCTGCTGAATAGCGCGTACCATTTCCGCTTGAGTGACCTGTGGCACCCGCCAAAATGTCCTGCATCGACCTACTTTCCTTTCCTTGAACCTTTTTTTCTTTCGGCATTTTTGCAGTCATATTACAGTAATTATATTACTAATTATCCACAGTCTTATTAATTATCTTAATTATACGGAGTCTTATCCGCTCCGGTCTGCCAATACACAGCTCGGTGCAGTTGCCTAGTTGTAACATAAGAACACAATCTCCGAAACCAGAAAAAGGCAGGAGATGTCAGAAATGGTCGCGAAACGATCCTTGCACTACGAACCACGAACAAGGCAGTTTTCGGCAGATTATTCATCGGCTCCATCGCTTACCGTATCCTCGATGTTTG